CTCTATGGGGGGCGATTTGATCGTCGGCTTTGGATTTGATGTTTTCTTTGGACGATCCGCGGCTTTGATCTTTTATTTCTCTTTTCCGCCTTTTGGAGAGCTTCAGTCTCCGTGTGGGCAATTCGATCATCGGCTTTGGATTTGATGTCTTCTTTGGACGATCCGCGGCTTTGATCTTTGAGGAGGTAGATCTGGTACTCCATAACGCTTTTGGTGGCATATCCCTTTGACATTTGGATCGAAGAGGGCCGAGTTGATGCTTTGATGAAGAACGCGATGAACACCTCGAAACTTTGGGATGAACTTTGGATGCTCTTCGTTGGCTTTAATGGACTCTTCAATCGCTTTTGGAGCTTTGATCCTTGAAGAGGTGAATTTAATGCTCCATAACACTTTTGATAGCGTGTCCCTTTGACTTTTGGATCGAAGAGGGCCTAGTTGATGCTTTGTTGAAGAACGCGATGAACATCATGAAACTTCGAGATGAACTTTGGAGACATTCCCTTGGCTTTGACGAATTCTTTAACGGCTTTGAGAGCTTTGATCCTTCCTCCGGCTTGGACATACGACGAAGAACGTTAACTTCATCGATTTGTCAACTAATATTGGATCATTTGTCCAAATTAATGACTTTCGAGGAAGAACGCTTCGAATGACACGAAGAACATGAAGAACAATATAGAGAGAGTCTAGAGACTTACCCTTTTGCTTGAATCCTCGATGTAACTTCGATGTCTCAAATGAACTGGCCATGACTCCTATTTATACGGGAGGGGTGGCCTCAACTTCCTTTTTGAATAGTGTCACGTGGCGCATCTTGATTGGCCAATAGGAAGATTTTATAATCTTTCCTCAGATATCATTTTCCATTATTGATGGATTTGATTGTGCACATTCATTTCTTGCCAAGATCTTTATATCATTGTTTTTTCGGAAGATATTAATTATATTACTTCCTTTATTGACAAAAAATTTATTTATTTTGCTGCCAAATTTATTATAGTTCTATTTATGCACGTAATATTTGTACGCTATCTTCCATTTTTAGCAGATTTTTGCGATATTTATTGTACAAAAATTAACATATGTGTATAATTAAATATCATATATTTATTTTATTAAAATTTTATTTTCTTCCAAAATACATAATATTTAATTTAATTTAGACATTTAATTTTTAATGCCTACAATCATCATCGAAGAGAATTAAAGAGACAAACATGAAAGCAAATACTTCCTCCATAATATTACATTAATTACTGTATTTTGAAACATAAACACAGAAGATGAGATATATCTATGGAAGCCCACATATACACCATGGTTGCATAATTGTTCTAGAAATAGCGATTTAATTTATTGGATGCTCCGAGGAGCAATTATTCTTGATATCTACTTATATATATATATGCAAGAAGGTGCTTTCATTATGATATATATATATATATATATATATATGGTAGTATTATTTTATTTGAAAGATGTAAAGGGCTTCATCTTTATTTTCATGTTCATCTTTAGAGTGCTTCTTCTTCACAGGGGTGGAGGTGGAGGTGGAAGGCATGTAAGGATAGAAGGAACAATCCTTGGAACTGGAATTGCTGGAATAATGGAAGGATTCCTAATCTGGTCTGTCTCGACACTTTGTGAAAGCACGCGAGCCGCTGATGCGAAACCACCCGACTGCTGCGCAACCATAATTAAGGCCACAAGGAGACACACACTCCACAACAATACTTTGGCCATATTAGGATATATTTGTATATATATGTAGGACTTGTAGGCTAAAGCTTGTAATAAAACTAACTAATTACGTAATTGTGTTGTTTTGATGGAAGTTAAATGAAGCATACATCATCCGCTGCCTATTTATACTACAAAATTTTGGTGAAGCTGTAAATGTTGATTCGACTTTTCACCACCAAAATAAATAATGTGAAGCTTTCTTCTATTTTTTTGCCAACCCTAATAGTAGCTAAAGTTACTACTATTGTCCTTTCGGAAATTACACCATATTACTCCTCTTATTTTTATTTTATTTTTTCATTTGCTAAATAGTGTTGAATATGTGCAATGCGGCCATTTTATTATAAATTTTTTATTCTACTATAAATGTACAATACATTCACTTAATCAAAATGATAAAATTAATTTTCAATTTAATTAATTTAATATTATAAATAATTAATTATACAAATGAACAACACATTAATTTAAACAAAATAACAAACTTGATTTAAATAAAATTAAAGAATTTAAACAATGAAGGTATAAATAAATAAATGTATGTCAAAAACTCACATTAAAATTATGATGTGCCGATTGAGCAACTGAGCATATAATAATAATAACTAACTAATCAATAGCACAAGTAAATCTATGTATTACGGGAGCACAATATTTCTGTATGAAAATAAGATAAGATTACAGTGGAGGAACTCACCTTTAAATGCATATTCGACTAAGGGTGTGTTTGTTTGAAGAATTGGAGTGGATTTATACTATTCACACAAAAATTTTCCTCGGAAAACATCATTTCATATATTTATTTTTTATTTTTTATATTATACTAAAAATTAATTTTACATTCAAAACATCACATCAATACATATTTATATCACATCATACAACTATTCAAATTCAATTTTTTTTACTATTCAAATTCCAATCCACAATCCAAACCACAATTCCAATTCCATCGGCAAGTTTATACCTTGTAATTAAAATAGTTTCTAATATTAAAAATCTCACTGCATATACAAATATACAATAATATAATATATATATATATATAATAAATTAATTGGTCATGATTATATAAATTAAAGAACTATAATAACCTTTGTAATTTAAAATAATTAATGCAACAAGTATTTTTTATATAAACAAATTAATAAAAGTTTGTGAGATATAATTTATTTTAATATATACAATTGTTTAAAACACAAATATCGAGCAAAAAAACAAAATTGATTCCAACTATTTTTTTTATTATTTTATTTTTTGTCTCATTTAGAAATACTTATCAAAATTAATCTCATATAAAAAAAATTAATCATCATTTTTTGCCTCATCATTGAAATTTTAATAGAATGTACTGACGTAATTATATTGAAAGCTAAAGTGGCATGGAATTCGGATCGAAAAATGTCATATTATGCGGAACACAGCCTTGTTTAACCCATCATTATGTCCCTCTTATGTCTTAGTTCAAATACGCCAGTATTAACCAAAAACACACCGGTATTTAAACATTCAACATCTACGTATCAGTGGCCGTGTTGAAATACGATTATGTTCACCGCGAACACGCCCGTATTCTAACATTCAATATCTATAACACTGAATGTGTATATAAATTATCCCAGAACTATTTACATATTCCAATATATAAATATGGACAAAATATACTGAATTTGATAGTTAATATGTGTAGGTATTGTTGTCCCCATCATCTATGGCATATTAAAAAATAGGACATTCTATGATAGAAAAGATTTCTTTAATGGTAGGCAAAGCAAAGAAACCCTCACTTTCATTGTCATGGATGTCAGAAAAAATAAATAAATTAATTAATTAAATTTAAAAACCATTTTAACATAAATACTCCCTCTGTCTCGGGTACCGTGTCCTATTTACTATAGACACAAAAATTTAGGAGAATTATAATTAGTAAATAATTAAGAATATCTTAGTGAAAATAATTATCATATAATAAAAAAAAATTGTATAAGATTAAAATTAAAAAAAGTTATAAATGAAAAAATTTATAAATAAAAAAATTTATATTTGATTTAAGTGTATAATTTTTTTCACAGAAAAGAAAAGTGATAGAATAAATGAAACAGACGAAAATAGAAAGATGAACACGGTAAATGGGACGGGATTAGTAATATATTTTTTAAGTTTCAATAATATTATGTCACCGAAAACCGCGATTAAATATTTAAATTATAAAAATACCATACTCTTGTAGCTGAGGTATCCCCATTTTTCAATGGTCCATTCTTTCTTTGGCTTCGATACATCTTTGGGAAGTTCTTCTACTCAGTTACCTTTGAATGATTACTGTGGGGTGTGACTATTTATATTCAATAGCTTATCAAACATTATCTTCTTTATGACATTAGAAATGTTTTTATTTTTGTTTTCCAAAACCGATAGTCAAAACTATCGAAGAAGGGAGATCTAGTTGTCGAATTGCCTTCTCAATTCATTTTGCACCGCAAGTTGATCTACTAAAAAAACTGAGCATGCTGCTCTGATACCATATATTGAAAACAGTTTGTTCGAAATCCCCTAAACCCTAATTCCCCTTGAAAACAAAATAAGAGGCCAACACGCGTGAGTAAACGTTCAAAGGTATTAGAAACCATATAGTAAAATAAATACCCGTATTCGCGAGGTAAACTCATATTAATAACAACCTAGTGTCGAAAGTAATGAATGTGAATGCATGCAAAGTAATAAATGACACAGTGTTTGTTGACCCAATTAGATTATAAATAATCTACTCACTACCGGAAATTCAGCCTTTTGTAGCAGGGGAAAAGCTTATACAAATGCTTAATTTTCGACACAAGAAGCTTTTTGTGTCAATTTTGTAACGAATTTTGATCGCTATAAAAAAATCGATAAACAAAAGGTCTCTGTAGCGACACTTTCCGTAACAAAAAGTTGATTGCCAATGCCCCCTATTACGCACGTGCTAAATTTATTTGTAACGGTTCAATTCATTTTTTGTAACAAAATTATCCGTTACAAAAAAAACCGTTATTATTGTCATTTGTCGTGATAATAACCTTTTGTTACAAATATTCCCGTAACAAAAATAACGTTACAAATACTTCAATCTCGTTAGAAAAAATATTTGTTACGAACATTCTCCATAACAACAAAACCGTTATAATTTTCTACAGATAGTAACAAACTTTTTTGTAATGATCCAACAAAAGTGACAAAAATAATAATATTTATTGACGTATTAATTTCGTTACAAATAGCATAATACCTATTTTTTATAACAAATACAAAAATCGTACAAAAACATACAAGATGATGCTGATCCGACGTTATCTGACACGCCAAAAATATAAATACAATGTTTTGCACCAACAAGCATGGTAAAACATATCCGAAATACCTATCATCCAAAATATTCATAATTCATACTATCCAACATCCAAACAATATAAAAATAATATAAGCATGAGGTAGAACAAACATAGATGGTGTTTTCAGCAATTTTTCGGGAGGCACTCAGGGGTGACGAATCAACTGCAATGAAAAAGAATTTTTTTATTATTATTTTTATCGATGCTCAATGAATTTAATTAGATGTCAAAGAAAAAAATAATTAAAAGAATAAATTACTACAAAGAGTATAATTAAAAGAACAAAATAATTAAAACAAGTTCAGATAAGATCATGACAACAATAGTACAAACAAAAAGTATCATTCAATACTAACTACATTCAACGATTCTAATCTTACCAAGAAATTTCATCAGCAGTTAATGAATCAAGAGCACAACATTTTAGATCGAAGAAAACGACCAGCCCAGGCTTACCTAACCTAGAGACATCTCTTCCTATTCTCGTTCTCATTCCAATGCCTCTCAAATTGAAAGTTCTTGCTATTCTTTTCTCTAGTTATTTTCCTACAGCGAAGACGTCCACGACGACTTCTATGCATAGTTACTCATAATGTTTTTTAATTAAATAAAATGGATGTGAGAAAGCAATCAAAAATTTTAATATGATCTTTATGTGTATTTGTGATAAGATAAGTTGGATTTATTTGACTTCTCCTACAACAGCCCGGGTCTATCAAACCTCGAAACTACCCACATCATGATGCACTGACCTCCAATGTTAGGATCCATGTGTCAAATTCATAAATAAAAACAACCAAGAACTATATTTCAAATCATGTGAAGTTAGTTTGTTCGGGTCTAGTTTGGTCACCTCAAGTTTGGATTACCACAAGAGCCTGCAAGGGAGGTATGCAATGCAATTAGAACTATTACTTGCAATATCCAAGACTCATGCAAGCAAAAATATCTAACCTCAAGGGCAGGTCCACAAAGGAATGTTTTATCATGTTTATTTGGAGAAGAATGATTTAATAAAATGCAAGAGTAGACTTTGCTACCACCACAAATTCTAGACTTAGAAGGCTCAATTTGTTCATTCTTATATATTCTGATATACAAAAAATTGAAAATTCAAAAACCAAGAATTTTGTGCTCCACGCAAGCTGTGTCTTCATTCCTGAAGGCCAAAGTGAAAAAGCAAAACTGTGGGGCTGGACAGATCACATTGACCAAATTATAATTTTTCATCAAAACATCAAATTCTGATTTTATAGTGAAGGCATAAATAAAAAGGAAGTAATGAGAGAAATCATGTCCCATTGTAATGTAATACACAGCCACCTAACTCCAATGGAACCTATGCCTTCAACCTATAACATTTAATTTCTATCAAAAGATTAAATAACTATCATGTCTAATAAACATTAAAACCACTCGCCTCATCCAGCCACCAAACTCCAATGGAACCAAAGTATTCAACCTATGCAACATTCAATTTATCTCAAAAGATTATATAATAATATATGTCTTGATGGGGGGGCGGGGGGGGTGGAATCATGACACTGCATCATGAACAACTATCATCAGCCATACATTCAGGAAGTAAAGGGGAATCACCATTTTACCCCCACCTCATTCCAATGTATCAACCAATACCAAGAGAACAAAACAAATTAAATAGAGCCATAGGAGAAACCAACGGATGTATGGCTAAATCCAAATAGGTGAAAATAATCGAGTTAAAAAAAAAAAATTTGTGACCAATTAATAGCCCCGGATATTCACAGCAAGTACAAAATCCTATGTTAATATTACACCTAAACTGATTATCAGACAAGTTATTTAAAAGAAGTTTGGTAATATAATGTTATGGGCTTGTTTCATTCTACCAAACCATAGCATCAACTATTTCACTTGAATATAACATTATCCGTGACAAAAAAGGAACCAAACAAAAATAGAGAACACTAAAGGTGTGTTTGTTTGGGGGATTGGATTGGATTTACACTATTTATCCAATCTTTCCCCCCAAAAATATCAAATCAAACACCTATTTTTTATTTTTTATATTATACTAAAAATCAATTTTACATTCAAAACATCACATCATTACTTATTTATATCACATCATACAACTATTCAAATTCAAAATTTTTACTATTCAAATCCCAACTCAAAATCCAAACCCCCAAACAAACACACCCTAAGAACAATATGTTATTTTTTCAGAAGTATTAAATAAAGAAAAATAATAGAATACCAAATCAAACCAACTATTAAAGAAAGAAAACTACTTAAGAAGTACCTGCCGGATCACCTAGATTGGTATGTTATGGTAGCAGCGGCATACTTGTCCTTTCTCCTTTCCCTTTTGCCCCTCAACTCACAAGTCTGAAAGAGTAAGAAAGAGAGGGGAACATGATTCAGCAGGAATGGAGTGAAGTATTTACATATATATATATATATGTATAGCTTTACTGCAATGCTTACATGTACAACTGTATGTATATACGTAATTGGGTTTAGATATTTTCCATGTAGGGAAATCTCTTGAAGCTAGTATTACTAAATTCCTATGACCATTTGTAATGGCAAGTTTTTCTAGATTGTGGGGAAAACAAATATAAACCCTTCATATTTACAATTGTCGTTGCAAACTATCTGAAATGTAAGTTTGATACCAGCCATAAGCATCTTCTACACAAAAAGTAAACCCAACATCTATCTTATAATAAACGAAAGATTTGCAAGGCTTGAGATGATAAACACCCAACATCTATCTTATAATAAACAAAAGATTTGCAAGGCTTGATATGATAAACAAGTAATCAAAACAAATACTACTGTAAGTATTAGTTGTCCGCAGAAACTAGTTCAAACAAGCAAACATGGTCAAATAATAAGCAGCAATAATCATGATGGTGCTTGAACTTACGATCCAATTGATAGTAAAACATGGGTGCCAAAATGGGAAGGATATAAGACAAAAGCATAAATATACGGAGGACGAAACCAACTGCCATCATGCTACCGGAGGATGGAGTACCACTTTCATCAAAGGAATAATCTAACCGGAAAAGATAAAATAATCAGTCAAAATACAGATTAGTTGCCAGAACATTGCCCAAGATTTTTCAATTCATAAAACACAGGGCTCACAGAAATGTGGTAATTGGTCATTAAAAAAGAACAAGATCTAACAAATCAGACAAGCAAATAAGCTCATGAACATTATGACATAGTGGGACATCACAAAGCAAAGCTTATTTTAGAACAGGAAAAGATAATTTCAAAATGATATATGCATTGATACAAGAGGAAATGTTGATTTCCATGAAGCTCATTCATAATCCAATAAATATCGTTGCTAGTTACATAGATATAGATTGCTATATATGCTACCATTTTAATGAGTCTTTCCTTTTTTTTTCTTTTTTTTTTTTTTTTTTTTTTTTTGCGATGGTCTACGTGGTAGTAGTGAAGAGCCAAAGCAAAGAATACAAATACATACATACATAGATACCCTTTACATATGTATATACGTACAACGTATACCTCTAATTGTGTGTTAAATAATTCAGTTTTTGGATCAGAGGTAAGCTGATGAACTTATGATCATCTATTATGGCCATGATTGTTAGGAAAAGGGAGAGGTTGAGTGAGGTTGCACACGATGCTGATATTGGCGAGCAAGGAACAACAACTACTTTGTTTCCTCCAACTATATACCGTAATAACACAATTACACAAATATGAATAACCTTCACCTACCAGCAGCAACATAATTCTAAAATATTCCCCCCACAGAACAGTAATTCTTCATTCCAATCTTATGTTCTATCCTCTCTAACCCCCATCAAGATTCAGAAAAATAAATTCAAGGAAAAGCAGTTTGCATTTCAAAATTGATGTCCACTAGTTTTACTTTAGTGCTAAATGAACACTGAAAACACTGAAATTAAATCCTTGTCTTTATCTAGATCTCTTTCATTCACACTACAGCCTATAGTACGTTGAGAGCATTAAACTACATATTCAAGACCTAGATTCATAGATAGATTGATTAAACAACACTAACAAACCAAATATGTTAATTCAAGAACTCATTTAACTTTCAAAATCAAGAGTGTTATCATCCTCTTCATCTTATTCATCCATTCGTTAAGCTCAACTAACAAAACACAGTTTCGTAGCATTCTTCTAACCACAAAATAGCGAAACAAACACGCGATTTCAAACAGGCAACTGGTTGAACACCGTGTGTGCGTGTTGGAGGTTGGAACAAATCGGAAAAGCTTGGTCGAGGTGAACCCTATGTTTCATCCATGGCTGAGAACACCTCTTTCTATGATGACAAACCATACACAAATCACCTCCAATACCAACACACAAGTATCGAAACAAAACACCACACCGAGCAGCAATCAAAAAACGAAGAATCCCCAATAATCAAACGAGAACACAGAAAATGGTGAGCCGTATGTTACCAGAATTGATCCATCTCCATCCCCACATCGAGAAACCATCAACAGTGAAGAAGAGAGATAGCCATGAAAAAGGGAGAACGATAGGGAACAATCTGAGATTGAGCGGGGAATAGCTTAATCTAGGGAACGGCTGATGGCAAACCTAGGGGGCTGGTGGCGGGAAGCCATTACCTGTAGCAAATGGTCAGAGAACGACCACAAGACTGCTATGCTGAGATAGATAACGAGGCAAGAGATAGAAAGGGGGCTAGGACAGGGTGTGGGGAGGGGCGGCGGACCGGCTCTGGTGACGGCGAAGCTTGCTTCGACGAGGGTTCGAGCATAGGAGAGTTAGGCGAGAGAAATTGAGATTGATTACTGTAAAATACTTTTATTTTTATTTTTTTAATCTTTTAAAAATAATATTATTTAAGTTTTTCTATATTTTTATTTATAATTATCATATTTATCATTTAGTTACTTACACGCGTAACAAATATATTTACAACGATATTTTATTATCATTGCTACAGTTAAATTATTAAAAAAATAAAAAATAAAAATTAACTAAATATGATATTTTTATTTTTGGCAAAATAGAAAAGAAAATAACTTTGTAATTTTTTGAATTTACTAAAATCCTCTATGTTTTAAAATTTTATAAAACCTTACTGTTTAAAAAATATGCAGAAAATCTATTTTCGTTACTACTTAACGGGTAAGTGGTCTCGCGCGTCTATATTGCCATTTTTTTTTTATAAAATTTGATATATCACCATATAAAATTACAAAAATACTTTTCTCAAATTATTTTAATCACAGAATAATGATATTTTAATCATTTTACTAATTTTAAAAAAATAAAATAAAATTAGTTTCCAGATTGCATCGACCAGCCGAAGACCGCCCCTCACCACCACCAGCCACCCTTCTCCTTCCTTCATTCAAATAGATGAGATTCGCCCCGAAAGAAGAAGAAGAAGATTCCAATTCCAAATCATAGGTACTGGATTCCAATTTCAAATCTCAAAATCTATGTTATTATGTAACTAACTTTTTTTGTTTCAGACCCTCTATAATTTGACTATATTAAAAAAAATTTAAAAAAAATTAAAAAAAAAAACAAGGAAGAAGAAGACAAACAAAAGGGAGGAGAGTATTCATAAATAAATAAATTGTAGTGTTTATGAAAAATGTTGGGACTCGGCCAACCCCTAATTGTGATATAATTTTCTTCGCAACTTCAATCCTCCCCACGACCCGCTGTCTGTCCAGCATATCACACCACAATCAATGCCCTATGTCTTAGCCCGTACGAATTTATGTTTAATTTCTTTTAAAATGACTCGTACCAATAGAGTTCACTTGAGACTTAAAAAAAAAAAAAAAAAAAAAAAGGAAGAAGACGAGTAAGAAGAAGACGGGCAGAAGGGAGGGGAGTATTTATAAATAAATAAATTGTGGTGTTTGTGAAAAAAATAAAAAAAAATAAAAAAGAAGAAGAAGATGCAAAAGGGAGGGGAAGAAAGAGAAAACAAAAAAAAATAATAGAAAGGAGTGGAAAAAAGAGAAAAAAGAAAATTTGGTGGAAAAGAAAGAAGAAGAAGAGCAAGCAGAAGGAAAGGGTTTTAAAAAATCAGAAAAATTGGTGAAGATGAATGTGTAGGAAAGAAGACTATTTGGTGCGCAACCAGAGCAATTGGACGGTTGTCGACGGCGGCGGGACAGTGGTTGAGCGCCGGCTGTAATGGAGGTAGAAGAAGATCATGTCGGTGGGTGGCGTGGGTTGGCGGAAGAACAGAAGGGCTCTGCGTCCGTGAGAGAAAGAGGAGGAGGAGAAATATGTATGGAGTAGAGAATGTAATGGATTTGATAATTTAATTTGGAATTTAACTTGGGAATATCCAAGTATAACGGTTTGTCTATCTAAATATTTAACAGCGTGCATGCATTTTAGAAAGAACGGAGGAATGTGCAACATTTTAGAAACCACAGGTAAATTTTATAGAATTTTTTGACCATAGGTAATTTTCAACAAATTCAGCAAATCCACATAGGAATTTTATACTATTTTTTTTATTATTTATTATTTTTTTTTACAAAAATTTTTGTAACTAAAAGTACTTTTTGTTACAGTGTTATTGTTGACAAAAATAGAAGTGTTACAAGAAAGCAATTTTCTAATAGTGACTTATGAGGATATCAATCCAATAGTTAGTCCACTATCACCTATCTATAGATTATAATTACTCAAATCACCAATCAACTTCTAACGCATTTAGCCTCTCTCATTGTTTATCTTGCAATATTTTGCACATGTAACTGGCTATTTCCAAAGCAATAGCACTTACAGATCTCCAATCTATTTGAGAGTAAAATTGTCTATAAGTTTTTTGATATTTTCGGTTGGATCTCCGATTTCTTTCTTTTTTTTTTATATATCACTTATGGTGAAGAATGAAGAATGGATGCCACGAAGTTAAGACCATCGAAATGCACTTTATCACTAGAATTTCACTCTTAACAACACTCTCTCTCCAACTCATACAAGACTAATCATACAATTTAGAATTGATTGTGTAAAATAAGACAATTAATGTCTTTTACACGGAAATATCACTACAACAAAATATTTATATTTCTATGAAATTAGCTATGGAAATTAGCTAATAAATTTGTTACAAAATTAGTCATGAAAATATATTTAGAGGGTAGAAGCAGTGTAGCTAATTTTGCCACATCAATTGTCATGATAATTTGCAATATAATTTGCCACAAAATTATTTGACACATTATTTGACACAATAATAAGTTTAATATATATTTTTTCACATCTAAATAATAATTATTTTACAAAGAAATTCCATACAAATTGCCACGATTTATTTGAAATTTTTTTGTCATGAATAATTAATATTTAAACAATTAAAAAAATATTTTAATTTTTTATGTGTATAGAAATACAAAATTTAATGTAAAATTTAAATTATAGAATTCAATATTATAACTATTATTCTATTAACAATAAAAAAATATTAATACAAAATTATATTTTTTAAACACTACTATAAACCATCATCCGCTAACAAAATTAATATTTTTAAATACATATAGTAACATCAATACAATATTTAATTAAATATATTTACATAATACTAATAAAAATACACATAGAATTAAATCTTTCTGATTTTGGATTTTTAAAGTTTTGACATATATATTGTTCTTGAAGTATGTTTTAAGATGTATTTAAATTCTGATGTTAAAGTCTTGACATGAGTTTCATTCGTCTTCGATTTCAACGTGGTATCCAATAGCTCGTTCTTCTTTTTTTTTTTTTCTTGGTTTCCAATAGTTTTCCATTTCCTTCAAAGTCTAAAAATAATAATGAAAAAAAAAATAGAAAATAAATCGTTAGTAATATACCATATATTAATTTAATGGCAAAAAAAAACCCTAATAATATAAATTGAAAAAATATTAGTAATTTTAATACAAAAACAAAAAAGTTAGTAAATTAGAAAAAAAAAATTAAAAAACAAATATATATGAAAAAAGGGACTTTTGAGGAAAAAAAGAGAAAAAACTGAAAAAAAAAATGAAAAAGAAAAAGAAAACTTAATACAAGAATAAAAAATAGAAAAAGAGCAAAAATAATAAAAAAGAAAATAACAAATATTAGTTAAAAAAAATATTATAAAAAAGAAAAAAAAAACTAAACCTAATGATTCAATATATATGATGATTCTGTGAAGACTCAAACAATATATAATACATAAAACTAAAATTGTTTAATTAATGAGTATTCCTTCAAATAAAATAAATTAAAAATGATTATATTAACAAAACAAAAATCAAGTAAATATTAGCAACATCAAAATTATACCATTAAAAAAATATAAATGTATAGATTTTATCTTTAAATTCATTAACAACACAAATACTTATTATTTATATGTACATGCATATCTGCAACAACGAAAATGAATGAATAATGATCTATATTTTTTAAACAACTAAAGAAGAAGAAAAATAGACTTTCATGGAAAATAAAAAATAAAAGAGTGTAATCCGAGTGCAAATTAAGAGATTAAGATAATTAAAATTGATATAAAAAAAAAATAATGAAAGTTGATATAAAGGGGAAAAAAAAAAAAGCACGGAAAATAGAGGATAAGATAAAATGAAAATAGATAGAATAGAAGAAGATATGTCCATAGTGATTGAAGAATTCGTGAGGATAAGATAAAATGAAAATAGATAGAATAGAAGAAGATATGTCCATAGTGATTGAAGAATTCGTGTAAACATAGTGAAAGTTTTAACTGTATATAATATTTATATATTCTTCTATAATTATATTATTTAGAAAGATAAACTTTGACAATTTAAAATTTATTTTTAATAATATAGTTATATTATATAAATATTATAACTTAATATATTATACATTTTTAATTTATTATATAATAAGTATATTAATATATAATAGTATAATAAATATATATAGATATTTGACTATTTTAATCATATTATTTTTAATTTTACAATTAATTTATCAATAAATATTACATTTTAATAAATTGTAAAATATTAATTTATTTTAAAATAAGATTTAAGAAGCATAGATAAATTTTATGTATATTATTTATTGTAAAAATTATTATGATTTTAAATGGTAGTTAAGATAATTTATTATACAATATTTTGTCACAATATTTGATACGAATATTTTTAGTTTTTTATTTGCTTATATATTTTGAATAAATGTAACACAAATTTGCCAAAAAAAAATAAATAAATAACATGTAACTAATTTGCTTCAATATTATTTATGGAAAAAATTTATATAAATTTTCTTACGAAAATAGTTATGGATAAACATATTTTTATTTTTTATTATATTTTTATGACAAATTATATGACAGTTTTAACATATAATGATTTGATAGGAAAATTTTGTAGCTATATCACGATGAAATGCTTTCCTAAGGAATTCAAACATCTCATTCACTGCTACATTTGTCTCTTCCAGACAAAAATAAAATAAGACAAAATAGTATTATTTTGCATCAATAAAGAACTTTGTATAGACGTATCGTTTTTATACAAGACCAACAACAAGTCTAACTAAACATTTGGTATCATATATCAAAATTGATAATGAAATTTTTTTGATTTAATATATTTTTATTTTAGTGGAATTAATTAGAGTTTTTCATGTATTAGATGCGAAATAATAAATTAATTAAATTTATCTGTATTTTTCTATTACTGTTTAAAACACTAAAAACTCTAATTAATTAAAATAAAATAAGAAATACCTCTTCCGTCCCACTCTTTTTTTGTGTACACTATTAAAAATGACAAAATTA